CCTTGGGGTTTGTGGTTTTATAATTCTCAAACCTTGCACCCTCCTTTAATATGTTCAGCTGGTCTTCCTATGTTGGGTTTGGTTACAGGTTGTATTAAGTCTTATTGTTGCTATGCTATGCTTTCTTGCTGGCAGCAGCAAAGGACCCTTTTTCTCTTTACTCCCCTTTATTGTCACACCATGTTATCTTGGTTCAGGAGACTGATTGCAGGAGTTTTGAGGGGGGCGGCCCTTTGTAGTTACCCTTGGATGCCTTGTCCCAAGGATGAGCCATGGAATATTTTTTTCCATGGGAATGAGGGTCTATCTTTATGTTGTTTCTCTTATACTAACACTGATTATTCTAGTAATTTTTTATATGAATTGTGTATACAGTGGTGCACTTATGTATTTTGCTCTTTTTAGCACAGGTCATGCCAAAATATAGAGGTGGATTGTTGCAAATTTCTACTGGAAAGAAGCTTTCGACTTAATGATCTTATTTCCAGTAAAAATTTTCTGGAAATTTTTATTGTGTCTTATATTATTTTTCTCACGAAAATGTATCCTTGTAATAGTTTATATTATAGAATCGGGGCTGCAAACCCCCAATGGAATCGAGTGCTTGACACTCGCGATGAATCTAATGCGGCAAAGGCCCTCTTACATGATCATACATTATCATTATGAAAATTTTATGCTGGAATATACGAGGTGGGAAAAGACCTGAGGCTTTGGCCGAACTAATATTTTTAAAAAATAAACATAAGCCAGACATAATATTTGTCTTGGAAACAATGATGAATACTGCTAATAGTAAGAGAATATTAAAATCTTTACATTTTGATCACACGTTTGTTATTGAACCAAATGGTCATTCGGGTGGCATTTGGGTCTGTTGGAATATTGATAAAATCAGTATTAATCAAACTACCTTGACAGAAAGGTGTGCCCACTTAAATATTATTTTAAAACCTTTAAACTGCGAATTGTTAATAAGTGGCATTTACGGTCCAGCTCAAGAGTCTGATAAAAATGATTTTTGGGATTTCCTTAATTCATTTAGCTCAAATATTACTATGCCTTGGATTATTCTAGGAGACTTTAATGAAATGTTGTGTGTAAATGATAAAATTGGCGGAAGACCATTTCTTCCACACCAATTACAACGCCTACCTAATTTTATAGCAAATACCCATGCAATAGACATTCCTAGTACCCAAAATTCTTTTTCATGGAAGCAATGTGGCAATAACAGAGTTATATATGAAAAACTTGATAGAGCAGTCTGTAGTAATGATCTCCTTCGAATTTTCCCGCGGAGTCACATAAAATTTGATGTCTTTACAATATCAGATCATGCCCCTCTAATTTATGATTCTCATTATAATGATCAAATTGTGCCCCATCGACCCTTTCGATTCCAAAACCATTGGACTCTTGAGGCCGATGCTCTTGCAATCGTAAAAAAAACGTGGCCATCACCAATTCAAGGATCAAGGTTCTACAGAATTCAACAAAAATTGTCTCGTACAAAGGTCGAATTAAAACAATGGGCACAAAAAAGATATGGGAACAATAATAATAAGCTCATACTTAATTCAGAAAAAATAAAGGACCTCGAAAAAGCGTTACACATACAACCTTTTAACCCGATCTTAGTAAGTCATATGAATAGAATGTTGCGCCAAAGAGAGAAACTTCTACTTTTTAGACAACGACATCGGGGTGCCCTTTCTAGGAAAAATTGGCTTACGCAAGGTGATAGGAATACAAGATTCTTTCATAATAAAATACGTAAAAGGATAGCTCTTAATACAATTTATAGATTAAAAAATACAGATGACATTTGGGTAGAATCTAGGGAGGAAATCCACAATCTTCTCCTAGAATCCTTCAAATACAGATTCAGTTCTAATTCACCAACTATTCGACAAATTGATCTTTCGTTCATTGAACCAATCGTTTCATCAGATGATTGCAACACCCTCCTAAGCCCAATCTCTAAAGAAGATATAAAAAGAGCCTTTTTTGATATGAACCCCAATAAATCCCCCGGATCAGATGGCTTTGGGGCTAGGTTTTTCCAAGCCTACTGGCCAATAGTTGAGAATGACATCACTATAGCGATTTAGAGTTTTTTCTCGTATGGGCAGCTTCCTCCCTTTGTGAACCACACTATTATTACCTTAATACCGAAGGTAGATATCCCAGAAACCCCAAATCATTTCCGGCCAATTAGCCTGGTAAATACAATCTACAAAGCCATATCAAAAATCATGGTTAGTCGTCTATGTCCGATTCTAAAAAAGTCGGTCAGCCCCTTACAAAATGCTTTTACCCCCGATCGCTCGATACATGACAACATCCTTATAGTACAAGAAATACTTAACACCTTCCATAAATCAAAAAATAAGACGGGTTGGTGTGCACTAAAACTAGACATGGAAAAAGCATATGATAGGATTGAATGAGATTTTTTGTGGGAAACCCTTAAATGTTTTGGATTTCCTTTGAAATGGATTCATTGGATCCAGGAATGTGTCACCAAAGTGTCATATTCTCTCAAAATCAATGGAGAAACTACAAAATGGTTCAAGCCTTCAAGAGGGCTAAGACAAGGGGACCCCCTCTCTCCGTATCTGTTTATCTTATGCATGGAAGTTCTAATCAGAAAATTATCCCTAGAAAGCCAAAAAAATAAATCAGGGATCGGGTTCAAAATTGCTCCTCGCTTTTTTAATATTCCATGCCTCCTTTTTGCAGATGACAACATAGTTTTATGTAAAGCTACAACGTCGGCTTGTAATAACTTAAAGAGAATACTAGATGAATTCTGCTCCTCCTCTGGTCAACTAATTAACTTCCATAAATCGTCAATAATTTTTTCACGTCAAATTACAAATAGTTGTCGCACTGCCCTTGCAGCCCCATTTCAACATGACTCCCAAGTCCTCTCTCGGAAGATATTTAGGGGTCTTTTTTAGCTCTTATTACCCTATGAAAAAAGATTTTAAGAGAGTGCTTGATAGCACCAAACAACGAATAAACTCTTGGGAAGCCAATTACCTCTCTAAAGCAGGTCGCCATACTTTAATCCAAAGTAATCTAGAAGCCCTTCCATCCTACATTGGCTATCTTCTCTTCTTCCCACTGATATGGCGAAAAATCTAGACTCCTTCCATAGAAATTTCTTTTGGAGGCAGCAAAAAGAAAAAAATGGTACCCCTCTAGTAGCATGGAATAAATTTTGCAAACCCAAGAACCATGGCGGCCTAGGTTTAAGGCGAACCTTTCCCTTAAATCAAGCATTCCTCGCTAAGTTAGGTTGGAAGATTCTTTCAGACCCTACTAATCTTTGGGTTAAACTTATAAAAGAGAAATATCTCCATAGCTCCTCTTTTTTTTTTACTATCATCGTCAACCTAAAGACTCACATACATGGAAAACCGTTCTTGCTCAGAGGGAAATTATGCGCAAAGGCCTTCGTTGGAAAATTGGCAATGGCAATGACATTTATTTCTGGCTAGACAACTGGGTGATGAACAAGAGTCTCCTAAAAGCCTTAGAGTTACAAGGCCACCAAGTCAACATTAACTTAAAGGTTGCAAACTTTATTCTCCCCGACCGAACTTGGAATAAACAAAAGCTTTGTTCTTTATTACCGAATTATATTGTACATCTAATCATCGGCATTCCCTTACCTAACTCTCAAATGTCTGACACACCAGTATGGGGCCCTACGCCTTCGGGAAATTTTTCAGTGAAGTCGGCTACATGGATAACACATGATTTAGAGCCAAATTCTGTAAAATGGCCCCATCGTTGGATATGGAAATTGGACATCCCACCTAAACTCCAAATTTTCTTATGGCAAATAATGCATAATAGTCTTGGAGTTAGAGACATCCTTTATAAAAGAAAGATTATTCCTTTCAATCATTGCACCTTTTGTTCCGCCTATCCGGAATCTCACGACCACTTATTTCTTACTTGTGATAAGGCCAAAGAAATTTGGAACAACACTTTAACTCAAAACTGGTTTCCTGGTACACTCCCACCCACAGACTTGATAACGACATTATCTATGCTTTGGAAAAACAACTCCGCCCTCCGAAGATTTATTTTCCTTTTATGGAGTATCTGGAAGGAACGAAACTCTATTATTTTCAAGAATGAGATTTTTAGCATCTCTAGAACCTTCCACCGAGCGCAATTTGCGTTTGAAGAGTGGAATTATCGTATTCTCATAGATACCTCTTTAAGCTCGGGGTCTCCAATGCAGAGATCCCAAACCTATCATCTACCTCACCCAAACCACCCAAAACTTAATTGGTTGCATGGGAGGCACCTCCTCTCAATTTTTTCAAACTCAACTTCGACGGTTCGGTAAAAAACAACTCAGCATCAGCAGGAGTCATCATCAGAGATAGTGAAGGTACACCCATTGCAGCACAAGCTTTCAACCTTGGAACCACCAACGTCTTCGTCGCTGAAGCTTTTGGCCTCCACAAGGGAATCATTCTCGCCCTCCAACAAGGAATACAAAATCTTCACATTGAAGGGGACAACCTCCTAGTTGTCAACGCAGTAAACGGTATTTGGTCGACCCCATGGCAAATTGATCACATTATAGAAGATATCAAGATCTTAATTCACAGATTACCCCATTGGGAACTCCGGCATGTCTACAGAGAAGCAAATAGAGCGGCAGATTGGATAGCAAATGTTGGGCATATTGTCCCTGACAATTTGGATATTCCATTTTGTACCTCTTCAGCTTTATACCCTAGTCTCACCTCAGATGCTTTAGGATCGCCCCTCGTGAGGAGGGGGTCCTAATTCTTTCCTTTTTCTTACCTTAAAAAAAAATATATATATATATATATATATATGTATAAAAAAAATTATTTTAAAAATTCAAACAAACCGTGCGTCGCACGAGCTAGTAACACCCTAAAGTTGTAATTAAAAAACATTGAGATAGTACGATGATCAAAGTCGTGGAATCATCATATTATTTCTAGTGATTCAATCTCTCTTATAATAAAAATCCACTTTAACACGTGTTATTAAAACACAACTCTCCTCATTGATTTATTCATTCAGTCTCCTACATCACCACATCCCTCTCCTCCCTCCAAATCCCCCCTTTCTCTCTCCTCCCATAATCTCTCTTTCTCTCTCTTCATTAATTTCATAGGTTAAAAATGTCGGATATTAATGGCACCAATTCAGAGTACCCTTCAACAAGGAGTATCAGCAGTTTAATTTCTGAAGAAGAAGCTATCCTAGTCACCTTAGATCTAGTCTCTGCTGCTAGACGCAACCTCAAGTTCCTCCGTTACGTGGCTGACTCTGATTGGCTTCACCATCCCTCCACTCTCGTCGAAGCCATTCGCAGGTTTTTTCTACTCCTCTCTTGTCTATTGTTGTTGTACGTACGGAGTATAGTAATTGTTGTCGCATTATTTAAGAGTATGTTACTGTTATGAAACCCTGTGAACGAAGAGTATTTCATTTGATCAACATTTATATGGTATACCATACCTCACACATGTGTTAATATTCACTTAAAAATATATCCAAAATTTATGAGGAGAATATTCAACTTTATTCTTTACTGGTATTAGTTAGGTTAATCTGTTGGCCGAAATGAAATCTAAACATTGTAACATGAGTAGTATACACGACAATTAATTCCGGAACAAAATTAGAACTGTACTATATGGGTATAATAATCCATCATAATAATGCCAATGCACTAACACCAAATATAATACGGCCAAGTCTTTATTTGTAAAGACAGATTGTTTATTGTTAGGCATGTTAGCTAGTACAACATTTGTTACACGTATTTTACAATTTACAGTACGTAGTTAATTAAAACTTAAAAGTTAGTAAAATTATGCACCATTGAAGTTAAAAAAAAAAACAAAACAAAAAAAGAAATTGAATCCCCTTTAATTGGGTTTCGTGTCATCTATTGAGCAATTTGATATAAAACATTATCAATAATTCGTGGGCCAATGAATAATTATCAGCTCTTATAATAATAGTTTAGTTAAAAAGACATTGAATTGTATTTGTATATACTAAGATGTTCAGCTTTTGGCTGGATATGTTTGGCCATGATAATGTTATTGATGCATTTAGTGCAATTATTGATTATGTTAAAGTCTTGTGGATATTATTTATGATAATTGAAAGTTACTTGGTCCTATATTGAAGTGTGACTCCCATCAATCACTTTGAAAATGATGTTTTTTCTTTAATATTGTTTCGTGTGTGAACAAAAATTAGTTGATGTTCCAATCACGTCAAATTCAAGATCGTTATAGTGTTAAGTTTTAATCCGTAAAAATTAGTTTTCTTTGATTAAAGTTTCCGGGTGACAAATAGGATTTAAGTTTAGTAAGAATACAAAACTTGGGACATAGTAGTTATGTTGTAACACATAATAATAATAATAATGTAATATTGCCTTAATATCTGGTCTTTACGACTCTCTCTACACTAGAAAAATGTAGTGACATTGTAACCGTTTTTGGTTAGGTATGAGGAGCTGTGGATGCCATTAATATCTGATCTAATGGTTGGGCCGAACCAACGACCACCTATGATTCTCCCTCCGTTTGATATTGAATGGGTTTGGTATTGTCACACTCTTAATCCGGTAACTACATTTCTACATAAATTGGTTTTAACTGGGAAGATTTTGTTTGTACCATCCTACATACTAAAGTGCAAAACGCTACGTATTGGGACAGGTACATTATAGAGATTACTGCTTAACGCGGTTCTCAAAGGTGATAGGTAAGGCCACAATTTTCGATGAGGAGAACGAAGAGTATGCTGTTAATATGTGTAGGGACATATGGACAAAGAGGTACACTAATGAGGCATTTGAGAATGAAATAGAATGTGAAGAGTGTTTGGAAGAAGAGAAAAGAAGTGGTAATGTGGAAATGTTTATGAGTGAAATGAGGAAACAAAAAAGTGTATATGACAAGTTTTTTAAGGAGCCTTATATGGGAGAATTAGTGTACTTAGTTGCAGCAATGAGGAGATACAAGAAATTCTTACAATTGGTGGTAACTCAACAAAATGATGGTGGTGGCGATGGTGATGGTAATGGATGTTCATGCGTTTTGGTCCCCACTGTTGATATCTTGCTCATGTGGCTAACTCATCAGGTTAGTTTCTATGTTTAGGTCCACCATAAGTTGGCACCTTTCAACATTGTTTTTTTTTCTTAAGAATTTTGGTCGAAATTAAATGATATTGATCTTAGAGCTCTCTAGATTTATTTTGTGTAGTAGCTAGGATTAGGATTACCGAATCTTGTAATTGAGGCCCTGCTCTATTGACCTTATATGATTATATCTACTTTAAGATAAGTATGTTTAGGAATAATCAATTTAGATAAGGAAAAACAGGGGCCTACTCAACTCTAACTGACAGCTTAATTAAGTTATAATGAGTTTATATAAGTTCAGTTCAGGAAAATGTAGATTAAATAAGTGAAAATACGTTAATAGTATTCTAACTCCTGAGAATCATAAGATCTAACTAGTAGACAGGTTAATCTGTCCATAGTTAAGTTAAGATTCTTTCAACTGATGAGGCAACATGGTAGATTGGTAGTGCATGATCCTATATTATAATCCTCAATAATTAAGTTTAATGGAATGAGCAATCTTACTAAGATACTAAAAAAACAATTCAAGGATCATTTATATGTGGTTGGATGGTCCTACAAGCTGTGTCACAAAGCCTTACATCAGCTGCACCATCTACTTCAATTTAATTTTCATGTGGTCACACTAGAAAATTGGGTTTGAAATCTGTTGTCATCCATTGCTTTTTAGATTATTAGTAAAAAGACGTCCTATGATATGTAGTTTTTATCTTTCTAAGAACACTGGATGTCTAGCTTGTGAAAGAGGAAACTCCATGAATGAATATGATTACTCGTGTTGTAGAATAGTGCGTCTATCCCAAATATATTGTACTGTCTACCATTCTATTTTGACGTGTCCCATGCTATTGTTCGATATAGCCAATGATAACGATGTCCTCCCTTTTGTTGTACTTAATTTCTTAATATTCAAGCTCAAGTAAAATCAAAGTGAACAATTTTTTTTTTTGGGATAATTGAGTACTTAAATTTCCTTGACTAGTATTGTAAGGATGAGATCAGTATCACAGCCTAGTCAAAGAACAATGAAAAAGATTTGGTAAGTTGGCACGGTGTTGTTGTCTATGACTAGGATTTGCCAATATCATGCATACCGTTCAGCTGCTTTTGATTTGATGGGAGGTTGTGGACTTGTGGGGGTTTAATATTGGATAACTGTTTTTGGGATGTTGTTGAAGAACTCTTTCTAAAGAGTCAATTTGATATATTCAAAAGTCCACCTTTTTTAGCAAAATTGCCTAAACTTGTAGAAATTGCCCTAAAAATGTCTGTGATTTACTATAGTCAAGCTCTCATTTGTCCCAAATATAAAATTTACATGAACTAGAGCTACCCAACGGTATATGCAGCTGACACGAAGCACATGGAAGATGAGCTGCTGCTGAGGGTGTTGGGCCCATGGGATCATTCAGTGAACGAGGAAGACATAGAGGAAACAAAGAAGCTTTGGGAGGCCAGTTTTGATCAGCCATATGAGAAAGCTGGGGGCAGACTAGTCGTTGATTTGCAAGGCGGTATTAATGCTGTCCAAACCTCGGTCTTCTGGGCGGTTTCAGACTCAGATGTTAATATTAAATACAAGTCATTGCACCCAAGATTCTTACTAGAGGTTAGTTGTGTGTTGAAAACTACTTTACCACTAATATACATTCATTATTACTACCAAGGTTTATTTATTAGCAACTTGCTCTAATTAATAATGGTTTATTGTACATCATGAGATCATCGAATCTTATTCATTGTGATTCTATGCATGCTTTGTCGTCATTTTCAACTTCCACAATCATGCTAGTTTTTTATATTGTATAGATTGTTTAACAAAAAGCTTAATGAACTGATCTATTATAGTTTTTGAAGTGGGAAATAAAGTAAGCCGGTTGGCATAGATGGTGGATTGTTGGTCATAGAAGCTCAATTGAGCAGGACAGTTTGGAAGTTAGGTTATCGTCCTAATTAAACATCCTAGTTGCTGATGTCTTCTTGAGATGGTGACCATATTGCCAACTAATTATAGACTAGCTATAGTGAGATGCCTTGACTACATAAATAATCAGTGACGAAGCCAGAAACTTTTGATTAGGAAGCCAAATATAGAGGTCTTATTTAGGGAGAAGTATATTTAGCTTGGCAAAATCACCAGCTTAATTGCTTAGTAACATTTACATAGTACTTGATCTCTGTAGCACACTAAGCTAATATTTTCTTTAATAATAATCCAACACTATATTACATGTACTATTAGACAGCCTATACTAGACACCCCTGGTTTCTCCCCTGTATCATATGCCCAAGATCTTGAAGGCATGTTTACTATTGGAATTAATCAGACGCTTGGTTCTCTTACATTCTACGCTGACTTCTGGTTTAAACTAGTTAGGCGATGTTGAGACAGATTGATTTCTTTGTGATGACTGATTATATATATTGTAACTGTATCATCAAACTTAAAATAACTAAAATGAACTCCAACATTTTACTTCTATTGTGTATGTAAAACTTTGGGCAAGTCTTTACATTAATTACATCTGAAAGTCTTGTGTACTCAGTTTTAAGCCTTGGTGTTAACTTGAATTCTGCTTTTGGAGATCAGGTATGTGTATTTGTTAGGCTGAGATCACATATGGATGCAACACAAGCAGAAAAGACACGCGAGTTCTTGCGCCTAAGAATGTTTAGATGTCACAAAGAACTTAAGTTTGACAAACCCATTTGGAGTTTTGCTCCTGATTCATGGCAAAAAGCATGGCATTTCTATTCCGAGTTTGGAACCAGGGGGATTAGCCTTGAGCTTCGCCATCCAGGGAACCTTTGTTTCACGGGCACTGGTTTGCTGGACAATGTCTCATTTTCGTGGAATGAGTTACTTCGTGCACCTTCTCTTGCATTTGGAAGTGAAGTTGATCAGAAATTAAGGGTTTTCACTTCAATTACTCCTCCTGTTCAAGCACCATACCTGTTGAAATGTGTCCCTGATCGTTCGAGTGATGATTCTGGTGCTATGATCTCTGATGTAATGCTTAAGCTAAATCAGTATCGACCTCAGGAAGGGAGATGGTTGTCTCGGACTGTTTTGGACCATGCAGGAAGAGAATGCTTTGTGGTTCGTATAAGGTGAGTCATCACTTCTCAAAAAAAGTAGCATCTTATTGTTTTGTTTTCAGTCATCATTTTAGCCAATGAGACCATTTATATTAAACATCTCCCATATCATGAGCTGTTTAGCAATCATGTTCATGCACTTATTGTAGAGATCAGATTTGTATATGCGAAAAAACTAGCTAGTCAGGCTCATATTATATACCAACCTCTTCGTTCATAGGAGCATAAAAGGTGTTTAAATTTAGGCAGGATTTCAACCAAGTCTGAGTTAATCCAGTAAACAGACTTAAACTGAGTTCTGCTCAAGTTTATAGTAGGCTGACTGTATAAATGATGGTACAACACGAAAGAGGTCGGTTAAGCCTTATTATTTAAAGCCAGACTAGCCTGTACATATTATAATATGTTCCTGCAAGTATTTGGCACTCTGAATCTCTGACAACATTGTGATCTGCTAAATGAAATTGCACCTCTTGTACAGAATTGGTGGAGGATTTTGGAGAAGAGGGGCTGAATCACCGGAGACAGTGAAATGGGAAGACCGGATTATTGAGATACGCGAAGGTCCTTGGTCTTATGTGGCAGGCTCTGCAATTGGGAAAGCCCCTGGTACGCCCTCTCTGCATCCACGTTTCTTTCAAATGTATTGTTTAAGTTAAAAGCACAATCACTATCTTAAGTCTTAATATTCCAGACTTTGCAAATAAATGCAGATAAAGTGGTAGGAACAGCACAGCCTAAAGAGATATCAGATGGGGTAATTTCTTGGTGCTTCTCAACTGGAGACGAACTGACAGTGCAGTGGGAATCGACATCTTCCTTAGAAACGCTAAGCCTTACTCTTACCCAAAATTCTGACTCTTATGTAAGGCTTGAGGATAATCATCCTAATCTATTCTTGAGCAAATATTGGTCATGACTTCAGTGAATCATCATTGTGATCTCAACCTATTAGCATGTTTTACAGGTTAAGTTATTGAAGGGCCGGAAAATGCAATATGAGGTGAGTAAGGAAGAGAGAAAACTACGTAAAACAGAAGGAGATCAAGTAGAAGATGAAGAAGAAGAAGGGTTTGTGACCGTTGTTAGGTTCTCTGATGAGAACCTGAATGGAAAAGCTACTGCTCTTATGAACTGGAAGCTTTTGGCCTTAGAGCTGTCACCTGAAGAAGACGCTGTTTTCGTGCTGTTACTGTCCCTTGCTATACTCAGAAGTGTTTCAGAGATGAGGAAGGAAGATGTGGGGGGATTGTTGATACGGAGAAGATTGAAGGAGGTCAGGCTAGGGGAGAAAGATTGGGGTTCTGTCATACTTCATCCTTCGTCGTGCTCTACCTCTTCACTTCCATCGCCGCACCTTCAGCCTTGGTATTGGAATGCTAAGGCTGTTTTAGGATATGATCCTGGGGCTGAGCACATTTTGAATCAACCAAACTTTTCTGTGGCTGAAGGTGGTGAAAAATTGTACAAGAGAGGTATTATCTCATAAAAAAAACAAGATTTGATTTTGATTTTCTAACCAATTATTGATTGAGCTTCCGTGGAAAAAAGAGAGGGGATTTATTATGAGCATGGTTGTACAATTTGTACATACGGCTTTGGACTTTGGAGTTGTATAATATGTGAAAAATTGGAAACATTACTAAAACTTGAAAGTCGAATAAAGTTTAAGACGTTAATCGTACCTTTATTAATGTGTGAAACCTTAATTGGTAACCTTATTATGTGTTTTTCGTAGATATATGAATGAATCCACAAAAAACTCTTGGAGAGGAGAATAGTGAATAATGTTGATCTATAGATGTAAACGTGAAGAAGTTTCAAATTCACTGTATTGTGATTAATGATGAAGAAGAGGGGCTTTGTTGTTAGTGTAGCTGTGTAAACATGATGTAGTCTCTAAAAGCGATTATCTTCGAGGAGTAGCTAAGTGTTTTTTCTAAGGTTAGCTTAGCTACGAGGAAGTTGTAATGCATAATAGTCATGCACAACTAATTTTACATAACAAACTTTTTCACCTCTCAATAGTACTACTGTTACTATCCAGTAGTATTACTGACAGGTGTTCAGTATTAATGGCAGCGTGAAAAGTATTTTAGAAAATGTTTAGTCCTGTATTACTTTTTTAACTTTTAGTAGCACTTTCAATTTGTTTTTACTTACAAAATTGCCACTGATATGTACTTTTTTGTGCATAACTGTTATGTCTTTAAACTCCCTCACTTAGCTACTAGTTTGATCGGTCCACAACTGGTGCTTGATCAAGATGTTTTTTCCAGATGTTTTGAATTTATGGTTCAAGGTTCTATTTGAATCTAAGACCTCTCAAACGTTAATGTAAAGCCCAATGACCTTCAATTTCTCCACAATACTCTGGCTCTGCCCATTTGAAGTTGGTTTTCTAATTGATAACGCGATAAGTAATCTAAATTTTCAATTGATTTATCATTTGCTAATCCTTGGCACGCATCCTTGCATATTGTATCAGCGATCACGTTGAGATTGGGTTTATTGGACAAGATAGCCCTAATAAAGAGGTGCAATTGAGCATGTGCTTGGTTTTGCTAAAAAGTCTTTACATGTGACTAATTTGTTTTGTGTTGACAACTTGAAATTATTTAAAGTTGATTGGAAAAATGAATTTATTTTTTTGAATTCAAATTTAGGTTATTAATGTTAATTCTTAGAGTTATATATTTAATATTCTTAGAGTAATACACAAATGCGTTTGGAATCAAAAATTGATTGCCAATTTAATAAAACTAAATTGGAGTACTAGTCTAGACCAAGTCAGTGATAGTAAAATTTAAACTGGCCCAAACTTAACCGTTGGGACTTGGGAGTACTAGATTATCAATTTATATTTTGATGATTAAAATTGCAATTATTTAATTGAATCCCTTAAAACAAAATTAACTAAGATTAGTGGTTGAGAATCTTAAAATGCATGTGAAGGAAGAATTACCGTACAAATCGAAAACAAAACTGTATGTAGATAATAACTGCGTTTAAATTCGACTTATCGTTTGATTAATAATTAATTTGAGTCGGTCCACCAACACTATTTTGAGATAATTTATACTATCTTTAACAAAATAAGCTAAAACAAAGATATATGAAGTACATAGTAATACTAGTGTCAAAAAAAAAAAAAACAATAAAATATTAGCGGGAAGAAGAACTGTCAGTACACTTACACATGCAATGATCTCAGCAAGGTGATAAGCAAAGGAGTGTCGTGATAGGTGAACATGCGAATATGCGTATGCGATTGGAGATGAACTGATAATACTCCCCTAATTAAGGCCTTGCTCTAACACTACAATAATATATATATATATATATGGGAGGGATCCGGTGAGAATAGGTTCATATGTGAGAATTCATACTTATATGAGAACTGATTTAAAATTTAGAACATGTGAGTAAAATTTTAGAACATGTGAGTTAAAATTTAGAACATGCGAGCTAAAATTTAGAACATGTGACTTAAATTAAAATTTTGAACATATGAGTAATAATTTAGAACATTTATGTGAGTAATATGTTTAGAACATCTTATTTAAGAATTAGAACAAGTGATTAAAAATTTATAAAATTTGCTTTATGAAATTTTAAACATATGAGTAAAATTTAGACATCTGATTTAAGATTATAAACATGTGAATAAAAATTTAGAAAGTGTGAGTAAAGAATTTAGAACATACGAGTAAAAAAATAGAACACACGTTTTAAAATTTAAAACATATAAGTTAAAATTTTGGAACAAGTTATTTAAAATTTATGACATCAAACTTAATTAATTTATGGTTTAGAACATGTGAGTACTAAATTAGAATATTTAATTTAATTTAGAACACTTAAAGAAAAGTTTAGAACATCATATTTAAAATTTAGAACATACGAGTAAAAATTTAGAACATAAAGAGTGTTCTCACATAAGAAAAATTCTCACGAGAGCCTTCCCCTATATATATATATATATATATATATATATATGATTAATTATAAAGTAGTTACACAGTAAGATATAGGAGTGTCCCTCCTATCACAGGAAAAGCATAATGAAGATCAAACTTAGGTCACTTTTGGCGAACATCAAACTCGAGCATAGAAGAGACCAAAATATTAACCCGACTTGAACCCAATCTAAAATTAATATTTAAGCTAAGGTTTTTTTAATTAACTTGTTAAAATTATTAAGTTGACCTGACACGAACCATTTATTACATGGGTTGAATTAGGCTTGATTTTTATAAATTTGAATCTAACATGAAATCAATCAAATTATCTAAGTTTTCGAGTTTATATTGGGAAAGAATACTTAAAATTGCTTCAAATGATTTGACAAAACTATACAGTATTTTTAGACTTTATTAACTTGATCAGGACTTGTTTTGTTCATTCATCACCTTTATTTTGCTTATTTCAAGAAAAATAAGTTCTCATAATTAAAGGCTTATAATTTCAAACAAGTTTAAGTTCAAATAAAGTGCAATAATATAGGCTAATAAGGGATACTCAAGTTCAATATTAACTCAAAAAAGTTTGTATAAGATCCAATGAGACCAAATAAGTTCAAATAAGTAAAAACAAATTAGATAAACTTGTTCTTTAATTTGTCGAAAATGATCTTGGTACTTATATACTCAACTCAATTATGTTTTAGATTGAATTGTCAATAACCTCAATTAAATGCTCTAAAATATTTCATTTTTCTTTATTCAAAAGATGCTTGATTCATTAGAAACCCCCAGAAAAAACACACTAGAATCAGTTACACATAAGAGATGAAAGATCAACAAGAAATCTAAATATGACTATCATAGTATTTTAATGATAATACAATAAGATTAGTTCATTTTTTCACATTAATAATCATAAAACATTATAATAGTCATATTTCAATTGACCACTATAAAATTTTCAAAAAAAATGAGGAGCTAGTAGAGTTGTAATTGTTTTATTTTCTTGGACGTACCAAATACCAATTTGATACTACTGGGCTGGGCGTCATATCATCAACATGGTGGTGTGATGTGTAATACTAGACGCAATTCTTCTTGTTTTTGTTGTTCAGTAGTAGTTTTAGTGCATTAGTGTTATGATATTCCATAGATTCTATGTTAAATTACTCTCCTTAATAGCATATTCGCCAAATTTATGTAAAATAAAATCCACAATTAGGGTGAGCTAGTTCAGTTTTATGGTCTTGTTTGATCATTTTTATAATTATAGGATGTCAACACTATGTGGATACGATCATTCCAAATAGAATAAATGCAAAGGAAATATTGAAAATAATTTAATCCATAATTTAAACTACAAATGAATAATTAATGCTAGTCATGTAGTGGTGGTGGAAAGAATGGTGTTTATAAATGAAATTTTGGGTGGAAACTGGTGAAGGTTAAGTGTAGCAAGTAGAAGTAAAGCATAAGAAATTAAAATTAAGACTTAATACCAATAATAATTTCAGTTAATAATTTTTAATTAAAGACAAGTGTATGTATGTGAAGGTGGAGCATATGGTAGCATGTGTGATGTGTTACTGTTAGCCGGAGTTTCTAGGGAAGAATGAAGAGCATATGCGCGTATCTAAATACATTCAAAATTAATTTCCTACGTAAGTCATTTTCATTCACGCAGATAGGTACGGTTTCGAACACGTTACTGGGCCCCACATGCTAGCTGCAACTTTCGTCCAAATGCCGTACGAAACTTGCATCAGTTTCGTTTCATACTCCGCGAGTTTCTATCTATTACGTAAAAACGGTCTTACTTGAGTTCTTAATGTCAAGAATGTGAATCCTTGGTTTGTATTAAGTGTAATCACAGTATTTATACAACCTAAAGTAAGGGCTTAACATAGCCCGTTAACAACTAAATAACATAACCCGTTAACAACTAAATACAATATATACGGGCCTAGCTTAACACCCCCCCTCAAGTTGGAGCATGCAAATCACAATTGCCCAACTTGCCAACTAAATACAAAAATTGTTGCTTGCTTAATGCCTTAGTAAAGATGTCCGCTAATTGATCCGTGGTCTTCACATAAGATGGTCTAATAATCCCTTCCTAAATTGCATCCCGAACATAATGACAATCAACCTCAATATGCTTCGTACGTTCATGAAAGACCGGATTCTGCGCAATATACAACGCCGACTGACTATCACAAAATAAACTCATCGCTTGCGGATGCGAATCTCCTAAACTGTCAAGAAGACCCTTCAACCACTTCAACTCATCAGTGGCCTTAGACATCGTACGGTACTCAGATTCTGCAGAAGATTTAGCAACAGTATCCTGCTTCTTAGTCTTCCATGAAATAGGAGAATTTCCAAGAAACACCAAATAACCTGTAATCGATCGTCTCGTAAGAGGACAACTAGCCCAATCCGCGTCACACCAACCTGTCAATTGTAAGTCACAATCTGATCTCAAAAGAATACCCTGACCCGGACAACCCTTCAAATAGCGTACTGCACGAAGAGCTGCCTCCCAATGATCTTGACGAGGTTGATGCAAAAATTGAGACAATATATGAACTGTGTATGCCAAATCAGGTCTAGTGAAAGACAAATAAATCAAACGACCCACAAGACGCCGATACATTTCGGGGTCTGCAATAGGAGGTGCCTCTGATTTTGCCAGAGTGTGGTTTTGCTCGATAGGAGTACCTGCCGGGCGTGCCCCTAATAAACCAGACTCTGCAATAATATCAAGAGTATATTTCCGTTGGCACAAAAATATGCCTTCCGGACTGCGAGCAACCTCAATACCAAGAAAGTATTTCAACACACCCAAATCTTTCATATGAAAAAAATCACTCAAATACGCCTTAGAATCATAAATCACAGACGTAGAGTTGCCAGAAATCAATAAGTCATCAACATACACCAGAACACTGAGATGGACATTCCCTTGATTTAGAGTAAACAGAGAATAATCAGAATATGACTTTTTAAAGTCATACCTTTTGAGGGATCCTGCAAGTTTGGCAAACCAGCAGCGGGGTGCCTGACGTAGACCATAAAGCGATTTCTGAAGTCGAAAAACCATACCCGGTTTGCTACCATGAAACCCAGGAGGTGGCTTCATATATACCTCCTCATCAAGATCACCATGAAGAAAGGCGTTATGAACATCCATTTGATGCAATTCCCAATTTTTCGCAGCCGCAACCGCTAAGAAAGTCCGAACTGTAACCATTTTAGCCACAGGAGCGAACGTCTCATTGTAATCAATGCCCTCAACTTGATGGTTGCCAAAAATGACCAGCCGAGCCTTTAATCGTTCAACTGTACCATCAGAATTGTACTTGATTTTATAGACCCATCTGCAACCGAGAGCCTTCTTTCCCGGAGGTAAATGTGCCATCACCCAAGTCTGATTGTCTTCCAATGCAGCAATTTCCTTCTGCATTGCTTCTCTCCACCCTGCATCTATCATAGCCTCTTTAAAGTTACGAGGTTCAGTTCCTGCTAACACAGCTGCAAGAAATGTACGGTGTCGCAAGGAAAAATTTTCACAATTAACAAAATGTGCTATAGGATAGGGAGTACCTGAGGAGCATGGAGGAGGTGAACTAGGAGGACTCGTTGCTTGTACAGTATGTGCGACATAATTTTTGTGCCAATCCGGTGGATGTCGTTCTCGAGCGCCACGCCCAAGAGCACCTTCAGTGATGTCCAAGACCGTGGCAGCAGCCTCGGTGGAGCTGGCAGCAACCTCGGTGGAGCTGGCAGCAGTTACGATGGAGCTGGCAGCAACATCAAAAGCTGCAGTAGCGCTGCCAGCACCTGCTGCAGTGTGAGTGGCAGTAGACGCCACGGCCTGGTCGTGGTCCCTGCTGCCAGCCACGGCCTAGTCGTGGTGTGGGCTGCCATGCTCATCCAAAGAGGTGTCCTGTCCCATGGCATCCGCACCCCCTTGAGCTATCTCACTCACCTCCAAAATTGCCTCCAAGTCATCCAAAAAATCAATATCGACCCCCACGTTTTCCACATCCATATTATGCATGTCTACATTATTGTCGGAGCCAACAACCAAGTGCTTATCACTAGCAAAAGGGAAATCATTCTCATAAATTTTCACATCACGAGACAAAAATCTCACCCGTCTCAAGGTCATACAATTTCCATCCCTTTTTACCGTGAGGGTAGCCTAGAAAAACACACTTTCGACTTCTAGGTGCAAATTTATCTCCCTTGGATTTTTGGTTATGGGCAAAACAAAGAGAGCCAAAAACACGCAACTCATCAAAGCTAGGCTCTTTATCAAATAAAATTTCATATGGTGTTTTGTTTTGTAGTAAACGAGAGGGTGTGCGATTAATCAAATATACCGCCCCAAGAACACACTCACCCCAAAAACCAATAGGTAAATTCCCTTGAAACATCAAAGCACGAGCCACATTTAATATATGTTGATGTTTTCTTTCAACACGGCCATTTTGTTGAGGTGTCCCAACACATGAAGTTTGAAAAATAATGCCATGTTCATTGAAATACGGAAGCATGCAATTGAATTCAGTTCCATTATCACTCCTCACCAATTTGACAGTCGTTCCAAATTGACGCTCAATCATAGCAAAAAAGATAAAAATGCGGAATGAACTTCAGTTTTGGAATTCAACAAATAAACCCAAACACCTCTTGAAAAATCATCAACTAATGTCAAAAAATAATGTGCACCACAAGTAGAAGGAGTTTTATACGACCCCCACAAATCACAATGAATTAATTCAAAAATTCGACTGGCCTTGCTATCACTATTAGGAAAACTATCCCTAGACTGTTTAGCTTGAGGACACACATCACAAGCTTTATTCAAATTTTTCATAGTAGTACTATTACTAACAGCAGGAACTAACTTGACAACTCTGTCTGACGGATGCCCAAGTCGCCGATGCCACAACTCAAACACTGATAACCCCGGAACTTGCACCGCACATACTGTTGGAATTTTCCGAAAGTAATAGAGTCCGTCCTTCCGTTCACCGGCTCCAATCAGGCTCCCCGAATGTTGGTCCTGTATAGCACATAAAGAATTAGTGAAACGAACAAAACATTGAGAGTCATCAATCATTTTTGACACCGATATTAAATTGCATTTTAATTTTGGAACAAATAAAACATGCTCCAATATTAAATCGTTGCTCAACCAAACCCGACCCTCTTTCAAGGCCACGGCTTGATCTCCATTAGGCAAACCCACAGGACATGCGAAAATTGAACACACATCCAACAAGCAAGACTCATCCCCGGTTACATGGTGAGAAGCCCCCGTATCTATAATCCAAGAACCCGGCACACACTCACCTTGCATACGCTCTTGTTGATTGTGAACCATATTTAGCAAAACCTGAACATCAGCAGGCTTAAGATCGGCCAAGGACACATCGACAGCAGCTTGAGGACCTCCTATGATGGCGTTAGCACGAGCAGCAGGGGCAGCAGGGGTGTGCTTCGGTGCAGAGGCAGGGGCAGCAGCAGCCTGGTGCTTCGGTGCAGAGGCAGGGGCAGCAGCAGCTCTGTCTCGCCCTTTGCCTTTCCCTTTGAGCTCGAACCACCATTCGGGGTACCCATGGAGGTCAAAACACCCTTCAACATCATGGCCCGATTTTTTACAGTGAGTGCAAAACAACTTAAAACGATCTTGACGATCAAAATTTCCTTTCCCACGCATCGAAGGCACAACAAACACATGAGCCTCCTTCGACTTCTCGGCTTTCCCTTTTGCAATGCCACGAGATTCCTCCTCTTGAAGGAAAGCTTGGTAAGCACGATTCAAATCAGCAGGGGGTTGTTGAGAAAGCAAGTTTGTTCTCACCATCGCATATAAGTCATCGTCAATACCAATTAAAAATTGGTGCAAAATTTCCTCATCTCGATCCTTAGCAAACTTCCCAGCCACATCACACGTGCAAAGGCCACACTCGCAGCCATGGAGGGGCTTGAGTCGCGTGAGTTCATCAAATAGCCCCATCAATTTTGTGTAGTAGGCTTCAACAGTCATGCCCTTTTGCTGTTTGCAATCGGTGATGCTAGTCCGCAATTGTTGCAAACGAGGGCCATTCGAAACACAATATCGGGCCTCTAAATAATCCCAAAGTCGTTTCACCTCCTCAAAGTAAGGAATCGATGCCGCAACCTTGGAGTCCATAGACCGCAATAACCAGGAAACTAGCATCGAATTTACCGTCTCCCAAACAAGCAGCTTCTTCTTCTCTGTCGGTTTGGTGATGGTTCCATCAACAAACACAAATTTCCTTCTTGATCGAAGAGATAGTGTTATCGCCCTCGACCATGCCAAGTAGTTATCGCCTGTGAGGATTACGTGAGTAATCAAATTACCCGGTTGATCACCGGAGCCAAGGTAAAATGGAGAAGCAGGATCGATCTTTCCTTCCTCCATTGTTGATGATTAATCGGAAATTTTTTTTCTGAATTTTTATGTTTTTAGGGTTTTTAGCTCTGATACCATGTCAAGAATGTGAATCCTTGGTTTGTATTCAGTGTAATCACGGTATTTATACAACCTAAAGTAAGGGCTTAACATAGCCCGTTAACAACTAAATAACATAGCCCGTTAACAACTAAATACAATATATACGGGCCTAGCTTAACACTTAACCTAAGATTCTCCTAAGATTCTGTTCTCTTCAGATTATTTTTTGTTCGGTTTAACCCTTAATTTCCTTTTCACATAAAATATTCAGTTCAGTTCAGTCAATCAGAACAGGCCCTAAGCTTCTTTATTTGTTTCTTCTGTCAAACATAGGAAATAGGGTACTCATCCTTGTCTTTGTAAGATTGTCCTATTGAAGTTTCGTTATTGAGTGGAGTTGATAAAAAAAAAATAAATTAGTTTGCTATATGGAAGTTTTTTAATTGAGTTTAGTTGATGAAAAAGAAAATTTAAATGACTAAACTAATGAGTATGTGTCACTCTGTATAGTACATACTTATACATTATAAACATACTTTGAGGATCCAATTAACAGGCAAACACTACTTAAGCATTTCATATTTAAAAACACTTAACTAAAGCATTTTTATCTCTGTAATTACATGCCCACAAAATAATTTAATGATTGTTATCTACATTACTTGGATTAAGCAAGTATTGTGTTAAGCAAACCCTAAAAGATACAAGTAACCGACCATTAATAATTAATTGAAAGGTTGATAGTTCCTATATCGTATACAAGCAATCAAATAAGCAATACAGCTACTATGATGAGTTTTGCCCAGTAGAACTATTATTTATATATGTTGAAGAAATGCTATGCTAGTAATCTGTAGTACGTACTATTTTTAGCGGTGATAGTACTTCTCCGTAAACACTAATTTTATATTCTCTTTTACAAGGGAGTATTGATCTCTTAGAATTCTGAAGATGGTTTTTTTATTGAAATTGAAGGATTCTTCTATTAAAGAAACAACTTAGCTTGTACTATAATAAACTTAAATAGCACAAGAAGAATACGAAGTAAGGCTATCACCCGGCTCTAAAGCACTCAAATGTACTTAATTAAAATCTTAATAACAAAACTTCAACCAATCAGGAGTAATAAAAATTTGGCTATTCCTAACTTATAAAATTCTAGCTAATTTTTGTAGATATTAGATTATTAATGTCATATATTAGAATATTATTGTCAGTTATATTGAACTCACGGTGAGTCCAGTCTCACACTCGCACTCTCATGCAAGAGTTTCTTTTATTCCTAATTGTTGTTATGTTACAAATATTAAGTAAAACTTTAGAAACTTCAATCATAACCATCAAGCAAAAGAAAATAATTGACATCAATGATATGTATTTATACTTTGATAATTCATTATTGGAAACCAAAACCTAGTGCCAACACAACCTATCAATAATAATCCAATAAACACAAACACATATCACGTCACCATTACCTTCCAACTTCCAAGTAGTCTCTTTTTATATTCAATCACACCCATTTATCAAGTCTTCCTCATATAAAAACGTATGATCTCATCTACTTTTTTCTAACTCTTTCCCCCCTTTTCAAAAACAAACACCAAATTAAATTCTCTCCTTTCCTATTATCACCTTCATTATCAATCTAATTATATAATTAGTGGTGGTTATTTGGTTAATCAATCATTTAATCACATGACCACTTCACAACAATGCTCTTCTTCCCTACTCCTCTCCCTCTTAACCGATGACCTCCTCGCTCACATCCACTCCCTCCTCCTCGAACCGGCTCACCGGAACTCGTTCCGCCTCGTCTGCCGCACCTTCCAACGAATCAACTCACTGAGTCAAACCCACCTCCGCCCTCTCCACCCCTCCATCCTTCTCTCTCTCCTCCCTAAACTCCCCTCCTTACACACCCTCGACCTCTCCTTATGCCCCCGTGTCGACGACTCCCTTGCACTCGCCATCTCCCCAATAATACGCCACCGCGTAACCACCCTCTCCCTAAGCCGAGCGTCGGCGCTAACCCCTGTAGGGATCGAGGCTCTCGCACGATCATGCGAGAGACTCGAGTCCCTCGACGTTTCGTATTTGTGCAGGAGGTTCGGAGATAAAGAGGCCCTCGCGGTGTCATGCGCGATGGGGTTAAAGGAGTTAAAGTTGGATAAGTGCTTAAACTTCGGCGATGTGGGATTGGCGCACATTGCGGTTGGATGCGAGAGTTTAGAGAATGTAAGCTTGAAATGGTGCTTAGAGATTACTGATCTTGGGATTGGTCTTCTTGCTACCAAGTGCTCCGGTTTGAAATTCCTTGATTTATCTTCTCTCAAGGTTGGTGCTAATAAAATATTTCATTCATCTTTAAATAATACTCCCTCCGTCCCAAAAAGAACGACCCATTTGGGTTGATTACACAGGTATTAAGGAAGTTAAGTAAAAAGAAGTAAAAGTATATTGGAAAGATAAATTTACATGGGGTTTGTAAAAAAATAGAGAGAGAAAGTAATAAAATAACACGGAAAATGAAATTTTTATAATTTTGCACAAATATGGTTGTAAATTGGTGGTGTTTTAATGCAAATGAGTCATTCTTTTTGGGACAAAGTTTTGGTCAAATGGGTCGTTTTTTTTGGGACGGAGGGAGAAGTAATAAAAACCTTAATATGCGTGCTTATTAATCTTATGTTATTTTGTGTACTTTGTACTTTTATACAACCTCAAGAGGTACCTCGTACTAGAATTGTAAATATGCGTTAAAATAATAAATGGGTTTGTTTGTTATGATTAATTTGGTGCAGATTACGAGTCAATCGTTGCATTCGATTGCAGCATTGCAAAAGCTACAGAGTTTGATAATGGTGGGTTGTGGTTTGGTGGATGATTATGGGTTGCATTCGCTTGGTAATGGCTGCCCTTCACTTAAGGTTAGTAAATTAAGTTGGTTAATAACTACTCCGTATTAGATTTCCTTTTTTTTTTTTTTGGATGAACCACATAGAGATAGCAATTAATAGGGTTTGTTTCGAGGGAGAAATGCGTTATATTAGTACTCGACCAACCAATATTGAGACCACTGGGATTGGTATTATATATTGTTGAGGGATGATTTATTATGCGACTATAAGTTGAGTAAATTCTTGTATAGTAGTATCTATAATAAATTGAAATATTTCACATGCGTACTCAAAACCAACTGAATCAGTTGCAATGTGTACTTCTAAAGTTCTAATTAATCTAAGCTCAATTTAAGACATTTAGTAACGTATGAAGGAGACGTAATCTTCAAAAGCCTAAGGTGTATAACTTTTTTTTAAAAAAAATAATTTGTTGGGATTTATGAAACTTTCTCAACAAAACCATGCAATACATTTTGGTGTTTATATAATTGAAAGCTTAGCTTCTATAGTTCTATGATCATAGTACTATTGAAATCTTCAAAGGGACGCTAGTTAGTACGTACATTTGACATTTACAAATGGAGTTTGCAAAATTATGCCACAATTCATGAAAATCACATAAACATATGTTATACAAATCTCCTTAAAAAATGTGTTAGTACAGAGTTTATTATTTCATTAACATTGAACTTCAATAATCTAATGTTACTTGCCTTTTTTCTGTACTTTAAGAATTATGAATCAAACAAAATAATGTAACGTTGACAATGTTTAGTCCAATATATTGAAATATTGCAGACATAATCCAACTCCAACTGTTTTCCCTCGAACCTAAAATTCTGATATAATTCTATGTGTATATAACTAGCTAGGAGCTGGTTTCCTAATTTTGTTTTGCAATAACAGCATACGATTGAATGCTTACCGAGTTTTTCTTTGTGGCGCGATTGTAGGTAGTAGACATGTCAAGGTGTGATGGTATTACTTCTGCTGGATTATGCTCAGTAGCTAAAGGACATCGTCGACTGCAACAGCTGAACGCAAGCCATTGTATGGTCGTGAGTACTGTCTAAAACTGTGGGAAACCTTTCTCTTACATCTATCTTTCTATATTCAACCTTTTTCGATTTTACAAATGTTTTCTGATCACAAACTCTGATGTTACATTTTTGCAGGATCTCACCTCTGATCTTCTTTGTGCATTGAAGAACTTAAAGTGTCTAACTGTCTTCAAAGCTGATGGAACTCGTGTTTCTAAAGCTACTATCCTAAGCATTACCAAAAACTGCACGTCTCTTGTCGAAATTGGGCTAAGTAAATGTATTGGACTTAGAGACATTTACATGAAACAGCTTGTAACAGGATGCTGTAACTTGAGAATCCTTAATCTTTCCTGCTGTGATACTGTTACTGATGACGCGATTGCAGCAATCGCTAACTCGTGCAGGAAACTGCAGTGCCTGAAGTTAGAGTCTTGTAGTTCTGTAACAGAGAAGAATTTTCAACTACTTGGCTCTTCTTGTGTTCTTCTTGAAGAGTTAGATCTCACTGATTGCTCTGGCATAAATGACACTGGTATAACTTTTTTTTGTAATGATATACTGTTATTTTTTCATTATACATTTGTTGTGTGTTTAATTGAAAACAAGAGTATTTTTCTTTTACAGCTCTTAGTTTCTTATCCCGGTGTTCGGAACTTAAGGTCTTAAGACTAGGGCTTTGTGACAATATATCAGAACATGGATTGTTCTACATTGCTTCCAACTGTATGAAGCTCTGTGAACTCGACATATACCGGTACATAGTCTACACACCTTTACTATGTAAGGTAGTGTTAGTAACACTCTATTGCGGCCGTGCCTTAAAAAGTGTTGCATAATGCAGGTGTCCTAATGTTGGAGACGGAGGAATGGCAGCATTGTCAATTGGGTGCAAGAAGTTGAAGAAGCTAAATGTATCATATTGCAGTAGTTTAACTGATAAGGGGATGGAGTATATCGGTAGACTAGAGGAGCTGAACTCCCTTGAGATGCGCAGCCTAATGAATGTTACCGGTGTGGGATTGCAAGCCGTTGCAGTTGGGTGCAAAAAGCTGTCAATGTTGGATTTAAAGCACTGTGAGAACATTCAAGATTCGGGTTTTTGGGCTCTTGCCAACTATTCCAACTATATGCGCGAGGTAATCCTTTGATACCCTATACTACCAATTAGTATTTAAAATCACAAACCCTTAGTGACATATGTCACCCAAAAATATAATCCAAGACATTGCACGGGTCAATTAACTAGTTGTTTATGATGTTAAAATTGTTTTTATGAACCAGCTAAACTTCTGCCATTGTGGCATCTCAGATGCAGCTCTATATATGGTGCTGAGTAAACTAACATGCCTTCAAGATGCCAAGCTGGTTCACCTTCCTAACGTGTCGGCCAGAGGATTCGAGCTAGCCCTTAGGGCCTGTTGCATACAACTAAAAAAGGTCAAGTTGCTTGGCTATCTTAAATCCTCCCTTTCACATGAGTTAATCCAGTTTCTTTGGTCTAGAGGATGTAAAATTAGATGGGATTAGAATAATTATCCTTCATTAAACAGAGTTAATTATAATTTCTCTTTACTTTTTCTTGAACAAAAAAACTTAGTCCATTGAAGATGTAAAGTATAAATGCTAAAAATGATTTTTGATCTCTTAACAAGCAAAGGGTGCGCTTCTTAGCCGCAATTGTAGAGATTCTTGTAGAAATAATGTGTACCAAATTCTGTAAACTATGTGGCCTGATTTTAGCCTGAAATATAACAGCATGTAGTATCTTTCATTTTTTTCACATACTTTCCTAACCATTTCATAGGCTATATTACATACGAATTCTGTACATTTAGATGAGCTTCGGTATTATAAAATACCCATAAATCTATAACATATACTACCTCCGTTTTACTTGTAGGAATAAAAATGATCTTTACTCCTTGACACTTGTATCGATGGAACGAATGATAAAACAATACAGAGTACATGCGATGACTACGTACTTTAGAGCCTTAATTTCTTATATTGTACTCCTCTAGTTTTGACCATTACCATAAAAAGGTTTCACAAGTAATAGAAGCTACCGAAAGTTAATCGAAAGATGAACACGAAGCCAATAACAAGCCACCATTCCTAATTAGGCAATCAAGGCATCAAGTAAAGCATAAAATTGAGATTAGCTTCAAACTTTCACCTAATAAGAATAAACTAAACTTTGGTATGGGTAAAAGCATAACTTTTTACGATTATCATGACCCCACTCTAATAGTACACTTTCCTTAGTAGGCAAACATTCCATTAATTTTGGTACGATTAATACATACTTTGTATTTCACAACACAATATTAAGCCTAAAACTCAAATTTTAGGACCATTTGCTTTAATTTCCTACACTCATTTGCATGCCCTTAGCCAAAATGTCTAAGATGTTACCATTTCTCATACTACTATTAAGTTTGCCTTCTCTTAATGGTGCCCTTTACGACGAAAAGACCGCATATAACCAAATCCCTCCCAAAATCCTACAAAATATGATCTCCCAAGCGTGTGCCAACGTAGAGGACGAAGTCAATTGCCTCTCCAACGTCGAATCTAGGCTTCCTAATGGCCCTAGGAACGCTTCTTCGGTCCTTAGGGCCGCCTTAGAGACTTCTCTCAACGAAGTCCAACAGGCCATAAAAAAGGTTTCTGATTTTAGTTCCCTTACGTCCTCCACTGCTCGTGAGCAGATAGCAGTGGAGGACTGTAAGGAGCTCCTTGACTATTCTGTCACGGAGCTCGCTTGGTCCCTCTCTGAGATGAGGGAGATTAGAGTTAGTGGATCTGTCCATGACCGTAGGGGAGACCTCCAGGCATGGCTAAGTGCCGCGGTTAGCAACCAAGATACTTGCCTTGAAGGGTTTGAGGGTACAAACCAACATACTAGGAACTACATTAAGGGTAGTTTGACACAAGTAACACAACTTATTAGCAATGTTTTGACTTTGTACACTCAATTACACGTCTTACCGTTTAGACCACCAAGACATAAATCACACAATAATGGTTACAACAATAATAATGATACTAGGAAAAATAATGATCAAGATAATTTTCCAAAATGGATGACTGAGGGTGATAAGGAACTTATGGTTTCTTCGTCTCCAAGTAAGGGAATGCACGTAGACGCGGTTATTTCTACGGATGGGAGTGGGAAGTATCGGTCGATCAACGAAGCCATTGATGATGCCCCAAACCATAGTAATAGGAGGTATGTTATATATGTAAAGAAGGGAGTTTATAATGAAAATGTTGATATGAAGAAAAAGAAGACTAATATTATGATGATTGGTGATGGTATTGGAAATACTGTTATCTCTGGGAATAGAAATTTCATGCAAGGCTGGACTACCTTTCGCAGTGCTACTTTTGGTAAGTTTTACATACGAAGTATCTACTATTCATTTTTACTCTTTTTGCAAAAGTTTGCATGTCATTGTGTGGAAAAACAATCCTGCAAAAATATAAAGGTGGTTCCTTCAAAGAAAAGTCACGCGGATCTCACAATAAATTAGCTTAGATTTGCCTAACATCTTAAAAGTTAATCTGAGAATGTTTAACTTGTTATAGACTAATATGATTAATAACATGTCCAAATACAGAACTTGTCTAAATGTCAAATTCATCAGAAGATGTTTAACTTGTTATAGCCTAAAACGATTAATAACAGGCCAAAATACAGAAATTGTCTGCTTTAATTGGACCTAATTTGTGGGATACAAATTGACGTAGCTAGTATGATAAATTGATAATGAATTAAACAAGAAAAGTATATTTGGTCAATAAAAGTATGATAGCATGATACTTTTAAGGCCCAATGAGGAAATCCATAAGGGTCTAGAACAATTAAAACCAACACCACAAATTAAGTTGCACTGCCTTTAAGTCCCTTTTTTTACTAAAAACTTACACTTATATGCAGCTGTCTCAGGCAAAGGCTTCATAGCAAAAGACATCACGTTTGGAAACACCGCGGGTCCTAAGAACAACCAAGCCGTGGCCCTTCGAGTAGATTCCGACCAATCGGCATTTTACCGGTGTAGTATGGAAGGATACCAAGACACACTCTATGCACATTCCCTACGTCAATTCTATAGGGATTGTAACATTTATGGTACCATCGACTTTATATTTGGTAACGGGGCTGCGGTGATCCAAAACTGCAACATATATTCCCGGACCCCACTTCCACTCCAAAAGGTCACTATCACGGCCCAAGGACGAAAAAGCCCACATCAAAGTACGGGCTTTTCGATCCAAAGCAGCTTTGTTTACGCGAACCAGCCCGCCTATTTGGGCCGGCCCTGGAAGCCCTTTTCTAGGGTGGTCTATATAAACTCATATTTGAGTGCCAATATTCAACCTAAGGGTTGGTTGGAGTGGTATGGAAATTATGGTTTGAACACCTTGTATTATGGAGAGTATAGGAATTATGGGCCCGGTTCATCGGTAGCGGGCCGGGTCAAATGGCCCGGGTTTCATATTCTTAGAGATGCTTCTGAAGCTATGTTCTTTACTGTTGGACAATTTATTGATGGTATGTCTTGGTTGCCAGAAACAGGAGTCAAATTCTCAGCAGGTTTGACTAATTAAATCAGATCATTTTTATGTGAATATCTAAGATGTTTATATTAGTTTTCTAAGATTGATGTAATACAATAGCTTTTTCTAAATTATTACTCCATAACTTTGCTACGGTGTACATATATACTAGTCCCCTACCAAATTATGTTTTAATTAAGTATAATACAATATTTGATTTTGTATGGAATACAAAAATCATCTTTGACCATTAATAATATATCTTAATTACGTGTATGATATTCCAAAAAGCTTGTACAACTTGAATGGAAACTCGTTTTACTATTATGTATGCGCGGGTTGTTCTTTTTACTCTGATTGTCTCCCCTCTAATCCATATTTCTAGAACCTAGAGGATATTTCGTGAAAAATTATAAACAATATTCAAGATTTAATATAATCAATTTTCTTTCACAATATTCAGTATTTATGCATAGTTAACTGGCATATGTTTGGTATGAACCCCCATTTAAATATATTTTTGAATTACAAAATAATAAAGCTTAGTTAAGCTATGCAAAAGGGTCCATTTACATATTTGTTACCATTTTTTTTTTTTTTGAGGAAATCATATTTGTTACTTTGTTAGAAACATGCAAATATGTCAAATATGATTTAATAATAATGTACTTGAAAATCAAACGTATGTATAATTAGCTTTCTTGAAACCAGACGTATATGAGCACTTGTTAGTTCTGTGTATTTAGCGTAAAAGATTAATTAACCACTTGTTTTCTCTTAAAATATCATGTCCAAAAGAACTAACGTTTTCAATAAGTGCTCCTAATAGTACAATAGTGCTTGTTAGCTAGTTGTTAACACTTAACAATATCATAGTTTTTGGATGATATATAAGTTGGTCACATAATTTGACTCTACCACGTAAAATCAAACTCAATATATGAAGAACTCCTCATTGATTAATAAAGTCGGTTTAAAAGGTATTTTAATAACTTTGTTTCAAGCCTAGTTCTAACTTACTCAGGAAAAAAACCCTAAAATGCCCCTACATATGGCCAGACTATATAAAATGCTTTGTTTGTTTTATTATATTTTGCTTGAAATTGTATTATGTGAACTATATTAACTGAATTTATCTTCACTATTAAAAAAATATTTCCTCTATATGTGCCCTATTAGTTGTGTTCCTAGGAAGTAGAAAACATGCAACCTAGCTAATTCCATCAGCTAACACAAACAAAGTAGCAATACACTATGGCATTCACTCTATCCAATTTTTCCCAAGTAATCTTGCACATTTTGCTCTTATTTTCTTTCTCCTCTTCTCAAACTCCCTCAGATTTAGATACAATTTGTAGCAACACTCTTTATCCAACCTTTTGCAAATCAATTCTAGCAGAAAATAACTTGCAAATTAAAACCATACAAGATCATGGTCGTTTTTTCCTTAGCCAATCCTTAATTATGACCAACAATTTCAAGTTATTAGTAAACCAACATCTCCAATCCTCTAAGCAAAATAATGTTTCTCAAGCTACCAAATTCGCCCTCCAAGATTGTCGGTCTCTTACTAGTCTTAACATCGATCTTCTTTCTACCACGGCTAATATGATCAAGCCTACCAACATTCCAAGTAACATAGACAAGGATCATGTCCAAACCATGCTTAGTGCGGCCATGACCAATTTAAACACTTGCTTGGATGGGCTCAAAGAGGCGCGTCCACAATCTAGTATGACTCAAGCCCTATTACCTCAAATCTCAAACAACACAATGCTTCTTAGTCTATCCCTTGCACTCTTTATACAAGGTTGGGTTCCGAAAAATAACCCAAGTGATATTTTACCCTTGAAATATGATCAAATTAGAACAAGGGTAGATAATTTTGGAAATAGTGGGAGGAAATTGCAACAAATTGGTGAAATGATGAATATTATAATTGTGAATACTACGGTGGTGGTTAATCCTGATGGAAGAGGAGATTTTACCACTATCAATGATGCAATTACTGCTGCACCAATAAATAGAATGCCAAATACCGGCTATTATGGTATATATGTGGCTTCCGGGGTTTATCAAGAGTACATCAATATTCCTAGTAACAAGAAATATTTGTTGATCATCGGTGATGGTATTAATCAGACTATAATCACTGGAAATCGGAGTGTTGGTGACAATTCAACTACTTACAACTCCGCTACATTTGGTATTTAACTTTATGTTTTTCAATTAATTTTTGGAAATTTTGCAAAAAACCACCTTTTAAATATTGTTTTTTGCATTTAACCATCTTTTTAAAAAAAATGTTGCAAAAAACTACCAATTTTAAAAATTTTGTTGCAACTTACCACCAATTCAATGTAAAACAATTGATAAATTTTGCTAAAAAAGTGGTAATTTGCAACAAAAATTTTAAAATTGGTGGTCTTTTGCAACAAATTTTTTAAAAAGCAGTTATTTGCAAAAAAAAAAGATTTAAAAGGTGGTTTTTTGCAAATTTCCTTAATTGTTTTAGTCCTGTAATTATTAGGTGCACCTAGGAGCATAATGCATGTGTCAGTTAACACGATAAATTACTTTAGGCATGTGATAACATCAATTTTGACTTCCAGATATAAATTAGTTTAGGCATTAGATAAATTAGGACTAAAACTCTCTTTTAAATGAAGAGTAATTAACTAGGAAGATTATCCAAAAATACTTATCATGCCTCAAGCAGTCATAAACTATGTACTAACATATTAGCCCTTAAATTTTCGTTCTTTTTTCAGCTGTGAATGGCGTAGGATTTGTTGCAACGGACATAACCATCCGCAACACAGCAGGGGCAATCAAGCACCAAGCCGTGGCACTTCGAAACAGTGCTGACCTTTCAGCCTTCTACAGATGCAGCTTCGAAGGGTATCAAGACACATTGTACGCACAATCCATGAGACAATTCTACAAAGAATGTGACATCTATGGAACAGTCGATTTTATATTTGGTAACGCAGCAGCAGTCTTTCAAAATTGCAACTTATATGCTAGACAACCGTTACCAAAACAATTTAATCTTATAACTGCTCAAGGCCGAACTGACCCAAACCAAAACACCGGATTCTCAATCCAAAATTCCATAATTAGAGCCGCCGATGACTTAGCATCAAGCAATTTTACCGTCGAGACTTATTTAGGGAGGCCGTGGAAGGAATACTCTAGAACAATTTTTATGCAATCGTTCTTGGATAATTTGATTCAACCTCTTGGTTGGCATGAATGGAATGGAAGTTTTGCACTTGGTACGTTGTACTATGGTGAGTACAACAACACTGGACTAGGGTCTAACACTGTTAACCGTGTCACGTGGCCGGGGTTCCATGTGATTAATCAGACCATAGCATCTTATTTTACCGTGTCTTATTTTATTGTGGGTGACTTTTGGTTACCCTCTACTGGAGTACCTTATATCTTAGGTTTGGTTTAATTACTCTGTATCTATGTATATTTATAAACAAAAATATTATGTATATTATGATAGTCATTTTAAAAAACTGAAAAAATCAAAATTAAGAGCCATATGAAGTATATTGATTTGACCTATATTTTTGCATGTTATTAAATTAAATTATACTGCGTATTATTTTTTACAGCAAAAATAAAGATAGAAAAATCAGGTCAAATTCTATTTTAAGTTATAGAAAATCTAGCACATACAATCAAATTTTCTATAGGACAATACTTTTTGACAAAAATTAAAAAGAAAAAAAGTTGCTTGCTCCTAATATTTTGCCAAAAGTAAAGGAACTAGTTGTCTAATTAAAGAGGTTGATCAAAATAGCTGAAAATTTTGAGGAGGAAAACTTTTTAAGAAAGCTAAGTTGGATTAATCCTAATTTGGAGAGTACAACCATTAATCAACCTGTTAATTAACTCCATTAAGCTCTAAGAACCTCAAAATATTATTAACTAAGTGAAAATTTAACCGACATTTAATTTCTTTTCATTTACTAATCTCTTCTCCTTTTTTCATGTTTATATTAACCAAATTATTTCTAACATTTTAGGGCCTCTCGTCTTTAATAGAGAGAGCCTTCCTTATTATTTTTTTCAAATTGCAGCTCTCTTGTTAATGATTAAAAGGTTGTGATTAAGGTAAAATCGTTAATAATTATTAATACTTGATTAATCAATATCGCGAATTAATTAATGTCGCGAGTTGCAGTAATTACCTTGTCCTCCTTGGTCCTTGTTGGGCTGATTGCGTCAGTGACCTTTAGCTTCGTATCACATAATTGGGATAAAAATAACAATCAAAAGTTGGCTGCTTCGTCTAAGGCGGTCCAAGCAATATGTAACCCTACGGATTATAAAGATGCGTGTCTTAAAAGTCTAGCCACGGTCAGGACCGATGACCCTAAGGAGCTAATTAAGGCCGCATTTTTATCTGCTAAGGCCGAATTGATTGATATTTCTAAAAATTCGACGGTCTTGAAAGAGCTCGAAAAGGATTCTAAGACGGCTGAAGCTGTTAAAGATTGTAGAGAGCTACTCCAAGACGCGATTGATGATTTCCAACGTTCATTCGATGAAATTTCAAAATCTGATATGACTCAAGCTAATAGTGCACTAGAAAACCTTAAGATATGGCTAAGTGCTACAAGAACGTACCAAGAGACGTGTTTAGATGGTTTCGAAAATACCACCGGGGATGCGAGTGTAAAGATGAGAAAGGTGTTGCAATCGGCCATGGAAATGTCTAGCAATGGACTTGCTATCGTTAACGACTTGTCGTCTTTGCTTAGCAGCCTCGACATTTCTTCGTTCAAGAGACGATTATTATCAACTCAGGTATAGGAGAAAATTCAAGTTTATCACCTTATAAACAAACTTTATTAATTAAATGGAAAAACTATAAATAAATCAACAACTTATTAGTATATTGGGATTCACATTTGTTTATATAATTACAAAAATGTCATGTTGACTGAATATTTTTTATTGATTTATTTACGATTTTACCATTTGATAAACAAATTTTGTTTATGAAGGTGATGATTTGGAGCTCCCTCTAAAGGCATTTTGAGCATTCTTCAAATAATATATTACGCTCAATAATTTTTTTTCTTAAATGTTTCATGCTACTTAGGTGAATAGACGTCTCTTGGACGATGATGATGGGGGAGTCCTCCTCCACGACAGCGAACAGGACCGAAGGAGAAGGCTTCTTACCACGGTTCCAATTGTAGGTCATCACAAGGGTGAAGTCTATCCCGAATGGGTAGATGGGTTTCGACGTAAGCTTTTGGAAGCCACAAACTTGGCTGATGATTTGAAGGCGAGGGCAAATGTGGTGGTGGCTCAAGATGGGAGCGGAAAATATAAGACAATTGAAGAAGCTTTAAAGGAAGTTCCAAAGGAGGGAAAAGAGAGTTTCATCATTTACATTAAGGAAGGAGTTTATAATGAATATCTTGTACTTTTCAAATGGATGACTAATGTTGTAATTGTTGGAGATGGCCCAACTAAGACAAGGATTACTAATAACAAGAACTTTGCTGATGGTACCAAAACATTTAAGACTGCTACATTGTGTAAGTGTTCTAAGCTCAAGATTTCTTCACCTTTTTTAAAATTTTCTTCGTCATAAATTGATTATTAGGCATAAATGAAAAAATAAAACAAAAATTGTTCAACTAATTAAGGTACCCTAATATTAACCAAGTTAAAGACTTCTATGCAAAGGTCAATAGTGATTTTGTCAAATTTTGAACCAATGAATGGATGAAGGAAATCAAATACTAAAGGACTTGTTTTTTTTTTGGGTGCATATAGATTTCAAGTGTAGCAATGTAGACAAAATTCGATTTCAACTTTCATGTAAATGATCAATGTTATATCATAGGTTCATAATTAACTAGCCTAATATTGTAAACGTTATTAAGCATTAAGAGTTAAATTAAATTACACTTTGTTGTACTACTAGTACAATGGTATGATTTTATACTAAATGATTCATACGAGTATGGAGTACGCATATTATTACGAACATAAGAATAAAATTCAAACTAGAAACTAGAAATTGAGGACAAAAAAGCATGAAGTACACAAGAGAAGAATACCTCTGTAAATTTATTTTTTACACCATGTATTTGTATTGAGTTATTGACTCTAACTAATAATTTGACATGATGCAATATAATGCAGCTGTTCTTGGAGATTTCTTCATGGCTAAGGACATTGGAGTTGAGAATACGGCAGGAGCAATTAAACATCAAGCCGTCGCATTTCGAGCACAAACAGATAAATCCATCTTCTTCAACTGTCACTTTGATGGATACCAAGATACTCTCTACGCTCACACCTACCGCCAATTCTACCGTGATTGTAGAATCACAGGAACAATTGATTTTATCTTTGGTGACGCTGCTGCATTTTTCCAAAATTGTACCTTTGTTGTTCGCAAACCACTTGAAAACCAAAATTGCATTGTAACAGCCCAAGGCCGAATGGAGAGGCATCAACCAACCGGAATAATAATTCATAGTAGTAAATTTGAATCCGATCCTGAATACTACCCTGTTCGAAACAAGAACAAGGCTTACCTAGGAAGACCTTGGAAGAAATTTTCCAAGACAATTATTATGGAGTCTCAAATTGATGATTTGATACAGCCTCAAGGGTGGTTGCCTTGGGAAGGTGATTTCGCGCTTGATACTCTCTACTATGGTGAGTACAATAATGTTGGAGCTGGCGCGGGTTTGGCTGATAGGGTTAAGTGGCGCGGTGTCAGGACTATTGTTTATGATCGCGCTGAGAAGTTCATGCCACCAACACTCTTTGATAATGATGATTGGATTATAGCTTCTGGTATACCTTATCAACCAACCTTGTCTAGTGCTGCTGGACCAACATCAGGTAAATTAACTATACTAATGAATTATCTCAATGTATACATATAAAATCACAACTAGACACACAAAATAAACCTTAGGAAATTCATGAATCAAAATTAAAATTGAAGAAAATAAGGGGGCGTTTGGTATAAATTCCGTAAACGGAATGGAAATGATTTATATAAGTAAGGGAAAGGGTAATGATACACGTTACCTTTGATATATGTTTGGTATCTTTATAAAATGGAAACAAATTGACGAGTTTATGATTGAGGAGGGAAACACATTTTGTTTCCACTAGTAACAATTTGGGGGATTTTGTTACCCTTTGAAAACAGTATTTGTTACTTATAGCTCATACCAAACTAATAGAAACAGAAACACTTATTTGTTTACATTTCCTATGTTACAAATTTTCATACCAAACACCCCCTAAGTAGTGACATTTTTATTTTTCTTTGGATAACACAAGGATGATTGGTTTTAGCTTTGTATCATATATGGTTGTGTTTAGAAAAACCAAAAAAAAAAAACCTAAAACTAAATCTGTGTACACCCGAGTGCATGTAAGATTTTGCTAACATTTAAGTTATTGCAACTTCTATTTGTAAAGGCATAGATGAAGATCCAAATGCACCAGCAGGAGCACCATCCTCCTTCCCCTACGAATCTTCGTCAAGTAGTGGCACCACTTCTCATGGTGGATCATTATCTTCAGTTGGCTCTACTTCCTCAAAATCCACCCCATCAACTTCTAAAGGTTCATCAACACCAAGTGGCACTTCTTCCCCTGACACGACTACGAAAAAATCTTCCCATGAATCTCCAACAAGCTCAAGTACCGCTTCTTCCTCTAGAACCCCTTCCAAAGGATCACATTCATCTACTGAAGGAGGACAAGGAGGAGGAGGTGGTGCATTATCTTCTCAAGAAAGTGGGACAAATGATTCAACTACTACTACTACTACTACCACCGCGACCACAACCACCGCCACCGATGCACCTACACAAGCACCACCTCCGGAGGAGGAACTCACGACTCCAAGCCCAACACCGGCCACTAGCCCAACTTCCCCTTCATTTGGATTTAAATTCACAACCTTATTTATTCCTCCAATGTTTAGGCAAAAGAAGCCCAATCCTCCAGACTCTAGCCCAAGCCCAAGTGAAGTAAAGAAGTTAATTACTGGCCAATTAAAAATGGGTGAACTTGAAAGAGTGCTAATGTCAAATGAAGAAATAGAGCTCGAAGGTAAACAAGCCACTAGCCCAACTCCCCCTCCTTTTGAAGCCCAATACATAACCCTTGTTATTCCTCCAATGCTTAGGCAAAAGAGGCTTAGAGCTCCAGCCTCAAGCCCAAGCCCAAGTACAAGCCCAATATCAAGCCCAAATAAAGGAAAGAAGTTGCCGCATATTGTCCCAGCCTCAAGCCCAAGTCCAAGCCCAAATTCAAGCCCAAATAAAGGAAAGAAGTTGCCGCATATTGGCCCACTAAAAACGCGTGAACTTGAGAGAGTTTTAATGTCAGATGAAGAAATGGAGTTCGAAGATGAAGCAAGTAATGATGACATGTCAGGGAATGTTCCTGATGGTGATGAGCCAAGCCCAGCTAGGGTTGAACCCCCAAGCCCATCTACTTCACCGAGCAGTGTCGTCGTAAGCCCAAGTGTTAGTCCACCAACATCTACTAATGGGCCTAGCCCAAGCCCAAGTTCAGAGGAGGTGTCTGATTGGCTTCCACCTGCTTTGGCACCTGAACCCGGGCCCGTTGATGAAGCTGATAAAGAGCCTCTTGTAACTAGTCCTAAACCTAAAACCAACAATGGATCTAAGTCTAAAATTGAGTTAAGTATGCTATTGAGTGGGGTAATTATGTGGGTTGCTCTACTCATATGAATGGATTTTTAATTAGGCCTTTATTTGTAGCTTATATCTCTTACTTTCTCTTGAAAGCATTTTGACTGTTATTTTTTTTTGCAATTTTCTTTACAATTTTACGACCTCTATTAGCCTACATTGATAAATTTTTAAAACGTATTGTACATATTATGTTGCTCCTTTCGTTTTATAATATAAGTCATTTGAATGATGATCTTTCATTTTTAGTAAATGCTTAAATAGATAAATAAGAGGAAAATAAAAATTTTGTGAAATATGTCAAGTAACTTACAGTAAATATTACGAAGTTTGTATGAAAAAAAGTTAAAATAGATTCGATAATAGCAAACTTGCAACGAGTATTGACACGCACTGGTACTCTGATAGAAACACAAACACAACATTAATGTATCGAGATGGACTTATTTTTTTTTTTTTTTTTTTTTTTTTGGAAAGCAAGTCCCAGAACAGGACTTAGAGACTTATATTAATATCAGAATGCAGCAAGTTACAAATAGAAGAGGGAAAGTCATCATGCCAAACTTTCCTACCAAGCACCCAAGGAGGAGCATGAGCAAGCTCATGTGCAACCTTATTGCCACCTCTACTAATCCAAGACCACGAAACAGAAGAAAATCTACAAGCTAAAACAGAAATGTCTTCAAGAATCAAATGAAACGGGCTGCCCCCCTTGTCTTGTCTCTTGAGCGCATTAATCACCACCTCACAATCGCTTTCCACCACCACATTACTCGCCCCAAACTCCACCGCAAGCTTCAAGCCCTCCAAGATAGCTCTAGCCTCAGCAAACTTGGGCTCACACGAACCAGGTAGCACTGGTATCTTGGAAGATCCGTTATTGGGGGTTGACATACTTCCTCTTTATGCCAATTTGGGAGATGCTACCACAAACTTTACCGTAATAAATTTTGATTAAAACATATTTTTGACTCTTTTAAAACATCTCTTGTTGGTGCTTGTTAAAGACCTTCTTATAAGAGCTTGTTATGCCTAAAAAGCTATTTGTAAAAAGCTAGGTTTGGGAGCTTTTTCAAAGAGATGATTTAAACTTATAGCAATATGACTATTATATCCTAAAGTTGTTAATAATTATTCTTAATAATAATATAGTACGAGTACTAAACACTTCTTTTTCAAGTAGTTTATTCTACCGGTTAATTAAACTAGCTAACATAATTAGATAGTCAAATCAGTTATTACAACAATTTATTATCAATAAAAAGAGGTATTAGTAATTAGCTATGTACAATATATTGAGGTAATATTTAATTATTTTAAAATAATTAAAATAAATGTTTATCATACACCCAAGTTATTTAAAAGTTTGTTAGTTGTTTACTAGTCCTTGTAACCTTAGAGGGTGTTTGTTTAGGGGGATAAAAGGGGTGGGACAAGGATAAAAAATAGGGATAGAAGGAATATAATGTTTGTTTAGAGGGATGGGGATTATAAGGGATTAGGGATAGGGATTAAATCACCCACTTATCCCTCCATTTCTATAACTAGGGGGGTGGTATAAGGGGAAGGGATTGAAATGGGTTTTAAAAGACTAAATTGCCCTTAATGAAATTGAAAAAGTAAGGAGAAGGATAGAAGTTAGTAAGGGTATTTTTATAAATTTATTACTTATCCCTAATTTCTTTCCCCTACTTACCAAACATGGGATAAAGATTATTTATCCTTGTCCCACCTATCAATCCCCTATCTTTATCCTCCCTTCTTATCCCTCTTATTCCCATCTTTCCAACCAAACGCCCCGTAAGGACGTAAGGTTAGTAAGTACAATATGTACTAAACCAAATTTAGCTTGACCAATGGTTTCAATAATCTTAAAAGCCACCACCACAACCAAAGAGGACTAGTATAATAAGGGGCCGTTTGGTTTGCCTAGGGGAATCAGAATGGAATGAACAAAGGGAATGTAGGAGAATGGAATGAAACCCTTTCCAACTAGTATGTTGTTTGTTTTCAAAAAATAAAGGGAATAACCACCACCACCGCACAACCCCCTTTCTTCACTTTTCCAGCCACCACGAGCCACCCCACCACCCAGCCACAACCTCGACGGGAATCTTCATCCCTCGGCGCACCTCCCCCTCCCCTCCCCGTCCCTCCCTTCCCGGGAAAATCGTCCACCACCCACGCAAAAATCCCGGAAAATTGTCCACCACCGACGCAACAACCCTAGAAACACTATCCCTCCCCCGAAAAACGTCGGTCGACCTTCCCCATATCCTCAAAACCCTAGCGGGCTAGTCGGCCGACGTTTTTCGGAGGAGGGATAGTGTTTCTAGGGTTGTTGCATGGGTGGTGGACGATTTTCCAGGGAGAGGAGGTATTTTTGAGGGGAGTGGTGGGGGAGGTGCGCGGTCTCCGGTGAGATGTGGGGGGAAGCGCGGCGGGCTCTGGCGATGAGACTGGGTCAGCGGCGAGGTGGTTGGGCAACTTCCGACTAGTAGATGGTGGTGGGTATGGTGGCTAGGGAAAGGGAATGGGAAAGTGTAGGGGGGTGGGGAATCAATGTAGACTAAAAATGGGTGAACTTAAAAATAAAAATGGGTAAAGGGAATAAAAAAAGTGACAAACAAACAACAACAAAGGGAATGATATCAGTTCATTCCGATTCCCTTTGATTATTAACCCCAACCAATCGGCCCCTAAATTTATCAAAGCCGAATTCTAATCCGAATCCAAATCCAAATCCAAATCCAAATCCAAACCCAACAAAGCCATAATCGAGTCCAAATCCCAAACCAAGCAAACAAACATAAGAAAACCCCAATCCACAATCCAGGCATCCCCCACCTTTTTCTCGCATCACCCTCCTTTGTCCTTTCCTCTCGCACAGCTCCTTGACTCATTCAACCATGGCGGCTTCGCCATCGTCGGCGACCTCTTCCTCCGATACTTCATCGACCTCATCGTCTTCTTCCTCCGACAGAGATAGAAGCCGCCGTCGTCGACGCCGCCGCAGCATTACCAGCAACCGCCATCGCGACTCCCTCAAGATCCGCAAACCTAAATCTCATTCCAAGTCCAAACGACGTCGTCGTCGTCACTCTTCCTCCGATTCTCATTCCTCTGATTCGTATTCTTCGGATGATTATAGGTATAGCTCATTAGCTCTCCTTCCTTTTATTTTCTCAGCTGTATTTGTTAATTAGGTTTTGTTCTGTTTTTTTTTTTTAGGTATTATCGATTGTTTTATCGTATTGAATGATTTAATTGATTGATTGGTTGTTTGTTGTTATATCACGAAGACTAATTGTTTTGCAATTGATGATATTATTGGGAAATATATTAGAGATTTTGTAATTTTCGATGTAAAATTTTAGGTTTACATTTATTTCATCAATTACCTGAAATATGAGCTGCAATCACAGAGATTTTGACTAGTATTGATCCATTTGCTGGTGATGAATTAAGTCACAGCTTAGAAGGACTAACTGCAAGTCTGCAATAACATCTTTTTTGATTACTCGTGTGGTTGGGGAGGTATTATAATGAAGTAGTATTGAGACGAATATATATAGTAGCTTAATGCTGGAAAATTGTGAACGCACTGAATCGGTGAGATGATGTTGATTGGCAAAGCTGTGATCGATACGTTGGTATCTATATTCTATAGTCATGAACAAATGAGGTTTTCTGGTGTGATTGTTAAAAGTTCTTTATAAATCCTTCATACATTTGATATATTTTTTTTCCCGTAACTACTCTTGCCACAAACCAATCAAGATTTGATGATTAACGAGTTCCTGATTCCAACTCTTATATCCTTTAATCCCCGAACTGTTATTCCTTATTGTCAAACGCGTGTTTGTGTTAGGATCTGCTAAAAGTGTTTCCTAAAACCGAGAATAGATTTGGTAACAATTGCTCAGAAAATGAGTGATGCATAAACCAGTTGGTGTTATACTGTTATGTCTTCTAGAAATTTAGCAGTTTAGCACACCATATGTTGTATACAACCCTAAAGGAGTATTGATTGTATATGTAGTACTATGCCCTCTTTCTCTTCTGGAATTTGTGAACTTGTATCACTAACTCCGACTCATCTGATTCTTTGGACTCAACAGTTACCACTCATTAGCTAATACGATTAACATGTTCGTGATGCTCTAATATCTTTGATCATATGAGAAAGGCTTAAAAAAGATGCTTATATTCTATGAAGCTTGAGAAGATATGTTCTGTAAGCCTTTAAGAAGTTAATGTATTTCATGACTTGTAACTTGCTTGAGAAGTTGAAAAGCATATACAGCTCAGAAAGTAGTGTTGTCCTTAAAATAGTTGTGTTTTATTTAATAACTGCCCCACTCGTATCTGAACTGGAGTATGCATATCTAACAAGTATGACAAAAAGTTGGAAGGATTGCATTTTTCTTTCCTCCTTTTTGTGTCAATATCTAGTTTAAGGCGTTGAACTTTCATGTCATGGCCCAGCACAATAACACCTAAGTATATGACTACTACTTGATAAAATTTCTAAAGTGATGTAGCTTTGTTTCATATTGGTGCTGCATTCATGGAGTTGGGTATGGGATTATGATGCGGGTAATCACCACTTGTTCATGTCCGAGGCGTGTAGTGGTAGATGGACGGGCCTAATTTGGGATTCACTAATTGATAAGAGAATTTTAGTGACTTTGCTTGCATTTCTCTTCTTGGAATCCTGGATTGGCTTTTTCTTTACTTGGTTCTTGTATGTAATGGAGACTTGACCATTAGACATTGCTGTTTGTTTGGGTCATGTTTGGATTATATGGTCTTGCTAGAAATATGTAGAGTGTATGGGGTTTGCCATCATTTACTTCAACTGTGGGATATTGCTGTCGAGTATCTTACACAAGTGGTGGGTCTTCATTGCATCAATTTTATTCATCCTTGAATCTTGTGGGCTGCTCTCTTGTATTTGTTTATTCAAATTTTGACTTGACTACCTGTCTTGTGATGTTTGTTAGCATAAAGTATGTCATGTTGTAGCTGTGCCTATGCTAGTAGGCTCCGTATCTCTTTCTGCTGTATATTAACCCCTTTTTTTGGAACTTGAGTAGCTCTTCTGAGAGTGAGCGTGAAACTTCAAGTCGCTCAAGAAAACGCAAGCATGATGACAAGTCAAAGAAGGTAATTTTAATGCTGGCTGCCTTGCATTCTTTTGGGA